ACGTATTTATTATCGACAGAGCATACTCTATATTAACCAAGATTCGTAGTGCTATACCATTGCAATAGAAGATAATTTCTAGAACATGCTCGTAATAACAAGCAAGAGAACAAAACGGTCCATTTTATTTATTGAAAAATAGATTCGAATTTGTTAGCGAAATTTGGCCTAATTTACTACGTATTTATTCCCAACAGTATTGTAATTATCCTATATGAAGAAGGATATTACTGCTTTGTGTCGTGATAGACATGGGCGTAATTAATATTATATCATGCTGTTCGACATAAAAACAGACTAGAGTTCATATTTCTGTTGTCCCTGTTTTAACGGCATATTATTATTACTAATCCCCTGCAGGTATAAGACCTACGCAATAGTTGCCGTGTCGTATATTATCCAAACTGTTGTCTTGAGATTTGTTGACTTTTAGTACATTATTTTTGATTAAATTAACTTTGATGAATTGAAGCATTTTCAATTGTCACGCCTTTATTACTCAGTGTTTTCTCGATATTGACTACCTATATTGAGTCCTGCCTGCGGGCACCAATGCAAGGTCATATTATTTATTTCAATAGATGATAAAAGTAATCAATTTATTAGCATTGTAAAATTAGTTACATCATCTTCACTTCTAGACGCTTAACCTTGAACTATTGTAATAATGATGTAGATTAGAGACATTTTAGGGTCTCTAATATGGGCTTGCTAAGAAATCTTAATCACTGGAGCATTAAGGCGTAACTTCACCTTCTGCCTTTTATCCAGGTTTTAATAGATGGAAATACCTTGGCCTTTGATTTAGTGCCAATAATGGAGGCATAACTTGACTTCTGCTGTCTTCAATGAAGTTAATCATCCTATGAATAGTTTCCTATAGTTTGAAGGCATCAAAAACCAAAAAATAATTCATGTACGATACAATGTCGATGGCAAACATTGCAGTGAATAGCTTTGAGGACATTGTACCCTATCCTGAATTTCGTGCAACAGGGGCTGTTCCCTAATCCCTTGTGTCAAGAAAGATCGAAAATACCGGAATATTGGCACTTGGGTCACGAAGTCTTTGCAGATTACAGTAGTGAACAAACCTATCTCTCAATCTGTGCAAACTCCTATTGCAATCCTTTAAGAGTGAGTTGACGACAATTATTTTGTCCATGACCGGGTAATATTTTACCTGAATTGAGACACAGGCTGATTCTTCGAGCACAGGCTACCGAGGCTTGTGGCAGTTTTGCATACAATTTTTGTACACTTTATTTGATGAATCTGTCTTTCAACGATGGAGCAGAGTTTAGGTAAAGGGCTACACAGACCAGCAAAATGATGTAGTGAAAAATCATCTCGTATGACTGACTGTAAATTATATACTATATATAGTATGCAATTTACGGTCAGTCATATAAGATGATTGTCGAATAATAAAGACTAGAAACCCTGCAAAGATTTTCATCAGGTTCTGAGTGAACACTCAACGCTTATTATATTAACTAGTATTGATCCGCTTCGATGCTTCAATAAAGCTGCTAGAAGTTTATAAGATAACTTATCTAGGAATAGATTGGCAATACAGTAATTTATCTACGAAGCCTTATCTGTTTTTAATAGACAAGGTCTTCGAGTAGCCTATGGTTCTAACGACAAATCTTACTGTAACTGTATATGTTATGGCATAGACTACTCGATGTTACAATGAAGCACCTAGAGATTCACAAGATAAATTATCTAGGAATACGAATATTTGATAATACAATAATTATCTACGACGTCTTACATGTTTTTAAAAGGTTAATAGACAACTAATAAGGAATGTATATTATGGCATGGACCACTTCGATGCTGTAAAAAACTGCTAGTAGTTCATAAGATAACTTATCTAGGAATATGAATATTTGATAATACAGTAATTATCTACGACATCTTACATGCTTTTAATGACAACTAATAAGGAACGTATATTATGGCATGCACCGCTTCGATGCTTTAAAAAGCTGCTAGTAGCTCATAAGGTAACTTATCTAGGAATACGAATATTAATAATACAGTAATTATCCACGTCTTACATGCTTTTAATGACGACTAATAAGGAACGTATATTATGGCGTGGACCACTTCGATCCTTTAAAAAGCTATCAGTAGTTCATAAGATAACTTATTAGGAATACGAATATTTGATATTACAGTAATCATCTACGATGTCTTACATTTTTTTAATAGACAAGGGCATAGTTTTAAAACGTTATTTATACATGCATGGACTACTAGAAGGTCTTGTGCAAGTAGCCCATGGCACTAATGGTAGATATTATTATCGCTACATATTATGGCATGGACCGCTTCGATGCTTTAATTAATAAAGCTGCTAGTAGTTCTGAAGATAACTTATCTAGGAACATATTGGATAATATGTACACAAATTATCTACGACGTCTTACATGTTTTTAATAGATAAGGGCATAGTTTGATAACGTTATCTATCCATACGAGCGCACATGGACTCTAGAAGGTTTTGAGCAAGTAGTCAGTCTATGGTACTAATAACGAATGTTATTGTAGCTGTATATTATGGCATGAAGTACTTCAATATTTTAATAAAGCTGCTAGTAGTTCATAAAATAACTTATCTAGGAATGGATTGGTAATACAGTAATTTATCTGCGATGTCTTCTATGTTTTTAATAGTTAAGGTCTTTTGCGAGTAGTCTATAGTACTCATGACGAATGTTATTGTGCTATATATCTTATGGGATAGACCACCAATAAAGCATCTAGTAGTTCATAAAATAAGATAAATTATGGAACCATAATACATTCATTGATCTACGATGTCTTCCATATTTTTAGTTTTTAATGGACAGCTACATAGTTTTATAATCATATTATCTGTGTTTTACTCGTATACTGTACATGGACGGCTAATAGAAGATCTTGTTCGAATAGTCCATGGTATTAACCCATGTTACGGTAAGTTTATAAGTTATGGCTATTATAGCATGCACTACAAGATGCTTTTGAAGCTGGACAATGTACTAAATGATGTTCAAACGTTGGACATTTGTTTCATTTATTTGTTGCTATCATTCTATGCAATAGAAGAATGCAAATTGAATGATGAAGGGTAAACATTTTGTTACTGTTATATATGGAGCAATTACATATACAGCATACTGTAAAGTAGTATTATATATAGAATGATTAAAAGTCGTACTGTAGGATCACAGTTTAAAATGATTAACGTTCTAATTATGTAATTATCATTTTAAGCTAATCTTACATCTTATATGGATAATCATTTAGCTAAACTATAAGTGAAGTAATCTAACAAATGTATAAATACCTTCATAAATTTATTAATAAACGATTCTCAATTGAACCTACACCGTTTACCACGAACATAATAGTTACATTGGAGTATTCGTTCGGGCCTTGTCAATTTGATGGTTTATCTATCACTCATATATGCTGTAAATTGGTTGTTTTATCAAGAAAGTAAGGGTTCCATGTTTGTCTAAGAGAGACGTATAGTTTGCTTTAACCTCTTGACGATGTTCAAGTCGTCTCCTATTAGTCCATCGCGCTAAGCGTCGAAGCCAACCATAACATTTTCTTATTTCTCTAACGGTATTTACAATCTTTCTATCGTTTGTAGATCGATGTCAGGATAGTTAAACCTGACAGTAAGCTCATAGTATTTATTTTGTAGCTGTAGTCGCTTAAAAGGATTGAAAATCTTGCAATAATATCGACCAGCGCAAAACTAATTTGCTATTTCAACTCCTTTCGATGCGCTCAAGTTTGAAGAAACCCTATCGCTATTACGTCACTGTAGTCATGGCACAGGCTTAGGCTAATGCAGACCGCAAACGATATGATACAGTATGGCCATTTTAGTACCATATCATACCTTGTAGTCCAGTGGACTCGAATATGAATTCCACATGAACTTCAATGATTTTCTTCTTCCATCTCGCTCCTATTGCCGTACCAACTCCCAGTCTAAAGCCACCCCTTGGAAGAAGGCAAAGATAGAAAGGGAACAAGGCTTCTCTCTTGGTGTCTTTCTCAAGAATTTTCTCCAGCAAGGTAGCTTCAATATACATTGTATTCCATTCCAACAGTACTCTACTATTTCTGACAACCACAACACTATATTATTTCAACTATTTACCCACGATCAGTCTGTCTGTGCCGCAAGCAAATAGAAAAGAAATAGTGAAGCTTTCGATTGCATCTTGGTATCTCTTTCAACAATTTTCTCTAGCCATTTGGCAATTTTAGATCGTGTCTAACTCTTCCAACAGTACTATACGACGCCTATCAGACAAACACAACATAATCTTTTGAGATTCCTGGTCAAATACAGTCGAAATTGGCTTACTACTGCATTGCAGTGAAAATAGGTGCAGCTTCCATCTTAACGTCTGGTCCAGGCCTCTTTTCTACAATATCAACCAATTGTATGGACTAGCCAAGGTGTTAGCAAATTTTCTCTCGTCTGCTTAAATCCAAAATATCAGGAAGAACTAAAGCGATTACAATAGTAGGCCAGCATTTATATTCATCCTTGCAAGTTTGAAAGTTTTAACGTATTAGATAGAGACTTAATCGAACATCAACTCAGCTATTCTAGTCTATTGGACACTCCATTTATAACAACTCATTACTCGATCTTTCAATGGATGATAGTTGACCTATGCTGGTGAAGATGATGGGCCTACAAGTGCTGTAAACTATGATATTGGGTCTCCATTAATGCCTTTCGACGTTGCTTAACATTATCAAATAGCATCTTCCCCAGAAACGATCATACTTGCCACTACAGTCGAGGGTGATTTCGTTTGACAGGAATGTAAAAGAGAACGGAGAACAACTTAATGACGTGGGTCTTGATACATTGCCTTGAATAAACGCAGAGTTCTAGCAAAAAAAAAATAGCAATCAAAAAGTCCTCTTCCTATACTTACGGAAAGCAGACATTGATCATACTGGACGAGATGGATCAAAATATCCAATACCTACAAGAAATATTTCCAAATTATGACGAAGCGATTATCCGAGATATATTTCAAGACTCTGGCCAAAGTGGTAAGCTGCATCACGCTTAAATTTTTACTTAAATGATTAATTATGCATTCAAGTAATACTTGATGATCGTACTATGACTATTGAGTAAAAGTAAATATAGTGCTACTGTAGAAGACACAGACAGGACTACGAGTGTTTTACTTTATCCCTTACTGACAACGGTAATACAACATCACTTGGATTGCAGCTTATGGTGCTAAGTGGATTAATGAATCAGTTAACTTACGATGAATTAATAGTATCGTAATCCAACATCCGACCAGTTAAATACTATAATTATTAAACTGATTAATTACACTATTACACAATGCCAGACAGTTTTTCTCTAATACTTATAAAACTTAACTAAAAGTAGATTATCCACAATTGATGTTGCTAAATTACTCTGATTAAAGTGATAATTATACAGTGTAAACACGTACGATTTTGTTAGCATTACTAAAACCTGATATACCAACATTGATCTCTTATCCTACTAAAACTGGTTCTGTACATACTGAGTACCAATCAAATAGATCAATTTGTGCGACAGGAAATCAATAATGATATCATTACAGGATATTCTCTCATTCTAGAAGTAGGTATTCAATTGCATAGCAGCTACTAAGATAGAATTAAGGTCAATTTTTGCATTAAAGTAAAATAATTATACAGTATACTCTGATTCCAGAATCGAGTATGCCACTGCATAGTTAGTACGTAGATTTGAGATGAATTTTATATTCTAGTGAATGATTAATTCTATACTCTGATTCCAGACTAGCAGCTATGCAATCCAGTTGCATAGTGAGTGCTACTTTAAAATTGTCACCTTATATAACTTATTGCAAATCTGCTTCGATCAAACGTATGTTGTTAATTCAATAATTGTATTCTCTGATTCTAGAATTAGGTGTGCAACTGCATAGTTATTACTAAGGTAGAATGAGGCTAAATTTATATTTCAGTGAATAATTAATTCTATACTCTAATTCCAGACTAGCAGTTATGCAATCTAACTGCACAGTTTGTGTTACTTAAAATTTGTCACTTTATACAACTTACTGCAAGTTTGCCGTGATCAAATGTATGTTGTTATCCTCAATAACTAACTGTATTCTCTGATGCCAGAATTGTGTACACAACTGCATAGTTACTACTAAGGTAGAATTAAATTCAACTTTGTATTTCAATGAATAATTTCTTGTTCTAATATCGGACTAACAGGTATGCAATGTGCATTACCACTGCATGCTTAGTGCTACTTTAAAATTGTTTTCTTGTGCAACTTACTGCAACTCAGCAGCGATCAAACATATGTTGTTGACTTTAGTATGAGTCAATTTCAGGGGAATAGAAATCTACTCTGTGAAATGGATCTAATTTAGTAGTAGATATAAATACGTTAATAATTATAGCGTGCAAATGTTCTGTACGGTGAACTTCTTTCATCCACCTGATACATAGGACTTTGCTATATGCTCGCACTCAAGTAGTAGTCAGACTTTGACAATCAACTAATAGTAATAGTATCTGATTAAAAGTATTCCTTGCACATCATATAACTTTCATCAGTTATTATTTCAATGCAGTTTTTATAATTCGAATCCTGAACGTCTTAATTCTGTACATGTTTATTTTGCTGTATCAGTTGAAAAGGCCGTAGAAAAGTTAATATCTCTTTCGTCAACCGGGAATCAATCACGCAGTTTGGCTAATACGAATCCCTGGGAAATGGCGACTATTCAAAAAGGAGCCACTGATGTACTAAATAATGACCAAACTAACTTGACAAAGGCCTCAAATAAAAATAGAAATGCAAGTACGAACAATTTAACGAAACAACCGCTAAATCAGGGTTTTAGCCATAATTTAGAATCTGTCTGGAATAACAGCAAGGCCGTAAATCAGATAAAACAATCAAGAGGTTCTGAAAGAAGGGTACAAGATCGACATTATGCAGCTCGTAAACCTAAATTTAACAAACAGGAAAATAACATGGATAAAACTCAAATTTATGTCAACCGTAAGTACAATTTTTGTATATCATACTAGTATGTATATATATCCTTGCATTATTGGCGTAGCCCACAGCCTACTTAGATAGCTTCATTGTACAAGTATACTCCTATATGCATATGTCGAATGCACTTTTTCGTACGATATACTGCGGTTATAACGTTACGGTACGACATTATTAATTTAGGCTTGTTCCTAAATCACTCTTAATATAAATTAGCAATAGAAATACGAGTAAAAATGGTAGCACTGTTGATTTATATAACGATTTTCTAGCTAGGCAATAAGATTAGTGAATGATCACATTATTCAAAACTAGGAAATTGTAGCCTTGTACGCTATGTGCTGTATATGATTGTATGCTCCAGGTAGTATGCCCTTAAGTACACAATGTAGATACGAGTTTATAGTCTGGTTACGCAAATTATGAGAAAGAAGATGATCAAGCCACGACTGATCGTGCGGTGTTAGAAGTATAAATTTTATTATTATACCCATTATTTTATATTGGACGAGTATTACTTTGTAATATGTAAAGAAATAAGTAGCTGTAAATCATATCTTGACAGGAAGAATATTGTTTATGCCTTAACATTGTTTTGTCTTAGTGATTTTTATTTCATTACATGTTAGAAATTCTTGAAAAAAATAAAGGAATATCAAAAGTGTTATACATTGCTCGTGGCTGTCCAGGTAGTGGAAAATCAACGCTAGTAAGGTGCAGTACATCAGTTAATTTATTAGAAATTACCCGTGGTAATAAAGTGCTGTAGCGCATTTGATGTATCCATTAAGTTCTGTTAATGCCATATTTCATTTTCTTCTTGATTTTCTACTTTAAATAGTGATTCACGCTATACTGTAATAATAAACGATTTTAAGCGACACTTTAGTGTAATATATACACTATTGTACAGTTCGTATGAATGACAGCATTGGTAAAGAATGATAAAGTGTAGATCTCATTTCTCGTACTCTGAGTTTCTTCCGACATGATTTAAAAAATTTCTTCAAGTTCCATCATATATATCTTAAATTTTATTTAATGTCCTGAAATTTGAAGACTTCTTTTGGAAAAGTATAATCATCAAGGTATTATCCTATCAACAGATAACTATTTTATAGGACCGGACGGAAAGTTAGTAGGGCTTATGAGAATTATTATACAGCATATGTAACTGATTCTAGATCAACGCTACCAAAATTGAAATATTAGTCACCCTTCTGGCATGTCTTATTGACAGGTACGCGTTTGATCCTACAAAAATTTCCGAAGCACATTCGTGGAATCAAAATGAAGGTATTATTTTATATGTATTTGCGTGTATCTCAAGTAGGGTAACCAACTTCGATTTTAGACTCAGCTTTGATATACTCCAAACCTGTCTTTAATATGTTTAGATTTATAATTAGTAACAAAATCTTACTGATAGACACCAATATGGTAATACATTAATATTTCCAGAGTTGTATACTACATAATTGTAGCATTAATTTTTTTATTCTCGATAGCTGTTAAAAATGCAAATTTAGGAATTTCACCTATTTTCATCGATAATACCAATACCCAGCTTTGGGAAATGAAACCATACGTTGTTTTGGTTCGTATGAAAAGTGCATTTATTTGTATCTCTCTCAATTATTATGGTTGTATATTTTTACTGCTAGAGCTTTCTAATATGCTGCTTCTATTAGGCTATAAACGCTGGTTACCATGTTGAATTTATTGAACCTTGTACTTGGTGGAAGTTCAATGCCAATCAGTTAGCAAGGTAGGTCATTGCAAAGTTTAAAATGTCGATTTGCTGCTAGGAATGCCAGCTAACATTTAATACTATTAATTTTTTTTTTTAATGTACAAATGTTACAGGCGCTGTACGCATAATGTACCACTCAACAAGATAGAATCTATGTTGCAAAGATTTGAACGAAGTGCTTCTGTTAAATTAATCTTGGGTGAAAATTCGGCAGGATTGCCTAACAAAACCGCCAGAGTTAACGATAATGGACAGAATGAGCGTTTATCAAGTCAACGCACGTTAATAGACGATCAACATCGACTGGCTCCCGAAGCTACAAAGAACATGATGAATGATGAACCTAACGAGCGAGGAGAAACTAGTGGAATAGAGGTGACTGGCAAATGCAATTATTCCATTTATCCCAGTATAAAGATATCCCATACTACAGCATCATGGCTGCGCGAAAAATTCGAAGTTGAAGAAGTGAATGGAGGAGGTATTTTAAATTTCAGAAGATACTATGCTAATGATAATTTAGAGCTTTTTATTTATCTGTACATTTATGAATGTTTAATGTATTAAAAATGTTACAGAAATACTTGCTCTATGCAATAAAAATTCCAATGATCTTGAAGTGTACATAGATGAGAGTTTTGGCAGAGAGCTATATAGGCAGTGGTTAAAGACATTAAAAGTAATATTTAAGTGATTGTCTTTGTTCATCGAATTATAGTTGTATTCTATCCTTTCTGTAAAATTTATGTAGTCTCCGATAAGACGATTTTTTAACTCTACAAATGCTTGTAATTTTTATTTAGATGAAGCATGAAAACGAGAACAATGCAATGGTCAATAATGGTACTAAGAATATTCCGTGTTATTAGTTTACAATATAATATCGCTTTGATCACCATTTGTAAAACAATAATATGTAACTGTTATCAATAGATGAAGCCATTGCTAGACAATTGCAGCTGTTGGAAAATGATATTGAAAATTATTATTGTAACGAGGTACCTAAGAATTGGATAGCTGATCAAAGAACACATACATCAGACATAGGCGATTCATCTGCTTCATTATCTACTATAATAACATCAGAGAATTTTAAAGATATTATCAGCGAACAATTGGCCTTTAAAATTGAAAATGAAGAACAAGTAAGTGCAAGCTATTCATTTAAAGGAATCTGTTATACTCTGATCTAAATTTTAAGCCAAACAACCTTATTTAATTAGAGCAATCTCAGCGCACCTGTAGTTAGGAGAATGCAGGAAAAGCTGAGCCAGTGGTATCCTGGAATCAATACGTTGGTTTTAAATGACTTTCTGGAACAGTCCGGGTAATCTTCATGTGCGATTTGAAAGGAACGTTTAAATATATTTTAACTCGGTCGTGCTGTGTTACTATTAGTTATAATTTAGAAGATACAGTAACTTTCCTGGAGGAAGTATGTGGCTTTGGCGAGCCCAACAAACAAGATGCAAGTGCTGGTAAAGTAATTACAAGCACAAGAGATGAAACGGAATCCACGTATAAGTCACCATCTACCGTTAGCATGCAACCTAAAATGGGTTTGTCTTGCCTAGCTAGGGTTTTATTAACAATAGCAGTAAATACATAATGGTAGCTGCAATATGGACAGTTTACCTAAGGCCGTAATTGCTGCATTGTAGATGTTAAGATGTATAACCGACAATCATCCGAGTATGCGGCTACCGCCAGAGAGTACTGTAATAAAGCTAGCGAGTGTTACCAATCTAAGCAATATTCTGTAGCAGGTCATTACCAAGAACAGGTATAACTTATAGCGTTGGTAACATATATTAATGAATTTAAGTTGAAGTATATATAATTCTACGAGTTATTTATAAATTCATGAAAGATCGCCTGTTATTTTAAATAGGCAACACATTACTTCAATTTAAGTAAAAATGCTCGTAATATTGCGGCTGAAATTATGTTACAATCAAGGTGAGTGAAAAGATTACAATATTTCCTTTACATGATGCCGCTGACTGGTACTATTTCGGATGCAACTTTTGGGCTTCAGTTCATGATAATTATTTATTGCATTGCAGAATGATTGCTCTTCGACAATACAAAGTTTTAGATTTACATGGTTTTACTGTATCAGAAGCTGTAAAAATTGTTGAAGAACAATTGCAAGTCATTCAATGTGATCCTAGTAAGTATGCATTTGCCTTCTTTCAATCTTTAATTATTTACACTGTTGATTTCTTAAACTTAAAAGTAACACCGAATTGTATATGCAGGCCTATCTTTGCATAAGAAAGATAATCGGTATCTAACAATCATTGTTGGCTGCGGCATTCACAGCGTCGACGGTAAAGCTCGAATTAAGCCTGCGGTGGTATCTTATCTGAAAAGAAAAAAGTACAGGTAATATCTAAGACTGATATTATAGTTACGTATGGTCCACGACTTAAAATTTGTCTATATGAAGACTCGATTTTAGTCTTCTGAATGACTCGCTATTTTGGTCCTATCCCATCTCATTATAGTAAATTATGTGTAATCTGTATATTTGCTTCACGTTTTTTATAGATACAACTTAATCAGCAATGGAGCAATCAAAGTAGAATTATGGTAAAGGCAAGAATCGTAAAAGGAATCGAAATCCTTATATTTATTTTACTTGGCTACTGTTAGTCCTAACTCTAAAGGAACTTAAAAAATAGACTCTACTTTGATTCCTTACAAATCAGTTACATTTTGCTTATATAAGTAACTACCACAATCGCAAACTAACTATATCGTATTCATACTATTATCGGTGGCCCTTATGGTAATTCGTTTAGAAAAAGAAAGGTTATAGAATTGTAGTATGAAATTTATAACTTTTATTAAAGACGACATTTAAATAGTTAATTTGCTCAGTTATATTTAACTAAATTCCATATTAACTTTTTATTCGCTGTATATTAAATCCAAGAACGACACCGTAAGGAGTTTATTGACTCCTTTGTTATACCTAATTTAGTACAGTACCTGCAATAGTTTTATAGTCAAGCATTGGTAAAGTTTATGTGTCGTAAAAAAATTGCTTAATAATTTAGAGTAGATATCATGCAAGTATTTTATTTACAGTTTAGGATTAGATACTCTCAGATCGACAAGATAAGGCTAAATTGAATGGATCATTGTAATCTAGTTAATGAATTATATAACTTGTACCTGTCGTGTTGGTTATCACTGTTAGTAAACTTTAGTTTTATGTTACACTACTATTTCTTGCCATTTTATTTTCTGAAATGATTTTATACATAATTTTTACTCTCCTATACGTAAATTTAAGCTTGTTGAAAAACTTTTGCTGTATAACAGCCAATATACTGCAGTATCTACTTATCGAATGTTCCTACTAGACAAATACCTACTATTTTTTATTATCAATTATCCTCCTAGCAGAAGCTCTCCGTGTAAGGCTCACATTAAAATTGATTGCCCGATACAGCATAATGGATGCTCAGTTTCTTATGTTATTTTATTTCCTAAAAATAAAACTCTTGCATTGCAATAATCAATAATGATCGTCAAACTCCTGCCACCATTGCCATGGTCTGATTGCGCCAAATAAAAGTATCAGTAGGAAATAATCAGACAGGACCGATATGATCAAATGATACAAAACAGTTTCATTTTGTTTAAATTGAAACGTATAGCAACGATTCTTTTGCTGTATGGAAGATTATATCTGTTAAGTTTTTTTCATCCCATCCTTTTGGACTTTACTGTCTCCAATTATCCGGAAGAGAATGACTGCCAGCGGCTTTTATGTATGGCTGCCCCGCAATATAAGTAAAAAATTGTCCCTTAAGGCGATATGTAAGATACGCAAGCTAGTAACCTACTATCGACGATACCCTTTTGCTAAAGCGCTAGTAAGTAAAATATAAATTGATTATTATCAAAGCCCAATGGGATTGTAAACTGTTCTAGCTAAAGATAATTCATTCAAATTTAAGCCGAAACCCGTGATATTTTTCTTCATTATATCGTTCAAGGTCATTTTCCATACCAGCTCATATAGCATTTGGTTATAAATTATCGGATATCTCTATACCTTCCTTATCGTTCATTTTTTATAAGCTGAAGTTTCAATATTTTGCTTCATCTAGCATTAACAACGAAATAGAAATCATGATTAAAGTATTAGAGAATGAAGAGAGATGTGTTTATAATCACTAATCCAGCTAGTAAACCATCTCAGTATGATATTTTATTTATTTTTATGCAATATCTGCTCGCAATAGCATATAATAATGAGAAGTCGAACGATTAAGATGTGATTGTTTTTACTAATCTTCAACTTTAATAGATGAAATTTTTCATATTAAATTGTTGAAATGCCATGAAGTTACGAAAAAATTAAAGGAAGCTATAATCATAAAGCCCAATGCCAAAGGGATAGTATTGCTACTGAGTAGATGGGCAATGTAATTAATAAGCATTTTACTTTTCATTGTTCTGTTACATTAGAATTAAACTATATAGAAAATGCATAATCTAAGCTGAAATTTCGCGCACTATGTCATGGCGATCCTCTAGGCTCTACGACCCCTATTATAACCTACTTTTCCATGGCCATGAGTATTAAGAAGATATTGAAAGGCTGAAAAATGCTGTTTATCTTTGTGTCATTCTCAGCCACGTACAGTACTTATATATATAGCTGACTATGCATTGCAGTCCTCTAGAGTTCGAATTATAACCTTTTACTAACTATAAGTATTGCAGGAGAATATTCATAGGCTAAAGAAATGCTATTTATCTTCATGTCATTTTCAACCTATACGATAGAGTCGTTTTATTTAGCTGGCTATGTAATGGTCGTCTTTTAGATTCCTAATCACAACTTTTCAAAATGGAAGAGTCTTCAGGGAGATATTTATAAAGCTGAAAGAAACACTTATTTATCTTACTATCATTTTCAACTTATAGAAGTAGTTTTATTTAGCTCACTATATAATACTCGTCTTCTAGGATCCCCTATTATAACTTTTCAATAACTGCAAGTATTAAAAAAACATTTATTAATTAAAACTATACTCCTTGTCTTACTTTCATTTTCAGCATATACACTATCGTGGTTTTACTTAGCCTACTAAGTAATGGCTGTTCTTTATTTTAGGGTCCATTTTACAAGTCTTAAGGGAGATACGTATAGGTTAAAAAGATACTATTTACCTTAATATCATTTTCAGCCTATACGCTGGTATAGTAGTTTTATTTTAGCCCAGTGTATCTTGGCTGGTCTCTAGCGTCTACTGTCATACCTTTTTCGATATCTACGAGTCTTAAGGGATATTTGTAAGTTAAAAAAATTCTATTAATCTTAAGACTCATAAGCTTCTCTATTTCATACTATCAGTATTATTATTAAAGGAGACATTTGCAATCTAAAAAACTTTTATTGATCTTAAAAGTCACACGCTCCTCTACTTTCCCTTTACAAGTATTAAAGGAGGCATTTCTAAGTTGAAAAAATTCTATTGATCTTAGGAGTTATAAGCTCCTTTATTTTTATACTAAAAGTATTAAAGGAGAAATTCGTAAGCCGAAAAAATTTTATTAATCTAAAATGTCATAGGCTCCTCTATTTTTAAGCTGCGAGTATTAATGGAGAGATATTTGTAAGTCAAAAAAATTCTATTGATTCTAAGAATTATGGGCTCCACTATTTCATGCTACGAGTATTAATGAAAACGTTTGCAAGTTGAAAAAATTCTATGATCTTAAGAATCATAAGCCCTTCTATTTTTATACTAAGGGTATTAAAGGAGATATTTGTAAACTAAAAAATTCTTTTAATCTTAAGATATATATAGACTTCTATACTTTCATGCTACGAATATTAACGGAGATATTTAGATGCTGAAAAATCAATTGATTTTAAATTAAATTTTCATGCTAAGAGCAGTAAAAGAGACATTAATAAGTCGAAAATTTTTATTAATCTTAAAAAGCATAAGTTCCTATATTTTTACGCGAAAAGTATTAAAGGAGATATTTATAAGCTAAAAAAATTGCATTAATTTTAAGAATCATAGGCTCCAATATCTTCATGCTACGAACGTTAAGAGAGACATTTATTGGCTGAAAAAAAAGCACCATTTATCTTTCTAGTTTTCAGCCTATGTAGAAGTTTTACTTAGCTTATAATGTAATATGCTATCACTTTCAGCCTAGACAACCAGAGTAATTTTATATAGCCTACTATGTAATGGCTGTCCTCCAAGATCCCGTATTATATCTTCTCAATAACAACTAGTCATAGACTCTTTATATCTTAGGAGTCCATACTAAAAGTATTAAGGAGATATTTATAGGCAGAAAAATGATCTTATTGTCATTTTCTACCTATACGAGAATAGCAGTTTCATTTAGTCTGCTATCTAATGGCTGTCTTCTAGCGTTCCGTATTATAATTATCAAGAACTGCGAATTATGGACTCCAAGAGTTTAGGAATCCTTACTACAAGGATCAAGGGAGACATTGATTGATTGAAAAATTGCTATTAATCTTACTGTCATTTTCAGTTTCTATACAGCAACAGCTTTTATTTAGCGCACTGTTTGTCATGGCGGCATTCTGGTGTCTCTTAATTATAATTTTTCAATAACATAGACTCCAGTATTTTCATGCTATGCGCCTTAACAGAGGCAGTTATAGACTGAAAAAAGTTATTTCTTTTACTATAGTAGTTAGCCCATACAATGATTGTATTTCTGAAATAACCTTCTCTATCACGCAATTCTGTCAAGAAAGAGTGAAAAGATCATCATAGTTTAGCCATCACGGCCATACCTGTAATAAGCTTAGAAGGGAGCGAAATGCAAAAAGTAAAACGTTTAAAGGTATGCAATCGTATACTCTTTTTCCTATGGCCAAGTGCATGGGTGTCGTGGAGAGATACTTATGGTTTATCCATCATTTAATCATCATTATCATGGAAGGTGTGATATAAATTTAGAAGAAAGCAAATAAAAACAACTATTAAACTCTTTAAGTCATGCCAATTATTGCACACTCTATCGTCTATCGTAGTTTGCATGATATTGAACGATAAGCTACTATAGTGAACGATTTCGTGAACAAATAGCACTGAAAGTCAGCAATTTTTACATCAAAATGGTGCAGTAATATCGTAAAAATGAAGGTAGATTCTATCTATCCCTAATGCTAGTTCAGTCTATGGCTTATATTTAGACTGTAAGAAATAAAAGAAATAACCATCTTACGTATTTCAGTTTTAATTAATTGAATCTGTTAAAACGGTCTTGAGTAACTCTACGTGTTAGGGTCAAAGGTAGCTCCTAACGCGTTTAACTTCTGTGTACAACACCTTTAGCAAATGTGCAGAGCTTGAACCTGGCATTCAATTAAGCACGATTTTAGGTTAGAATCATGATTTGTGTCGAATATATTCAACTCCAGAACTACGCTAAAATCATTAGGAAATTAATGCTGCTACGTTATCTATATTACCGTTGCTAGCACAAGACCGGCAGTGTACTAGGTAGGAACAAATATTAACTGAATATTTTGGTGAGCAATAGGTAATACCGTAAAAAAGCGTAAATAACATATAGAATTTTCTCATTATAGGGAAACTGGATAGTGCAGCATGTCCTAAACTGTTGAAAGTTTCATGTTTGCATATCTTCATGGATAGGCAATGATCATTTCTTAAGACTCATTAAGGGTATCATGAAAATTTTGTTATAGGACAGTGAAGAAAAGGATTTCCATCAATGAGTTATAAAATGATACGAGTTAATGATGCTACCAAGACGGGTAGATTAGAACATGTTAAAGTATTGTTTATAGCATATAATAAGTGATACTTTGATATCAAGATAATTTATAAGTTCAAAAAGGCAAAGTTAGCACGAAATTACAAAGATTACTTAGGTAATAGGACTAAATCATACTTGTATCGATAACAAGTATTTTGGATTTTACATAAAAGGGCGCTTGGGAACGATATATAGACTGAGTAATACTTTGAAGCACTCTTCATATTAAAATAAGCTATCGTTTCTTATCAATGATCGTCGCAATTTATAGCTAGGTGTGAAAAATCAGTTAGTCTAATGAGGAAATTATTCAAAGTGAAACTGCAGTCATGATATTAAATCATAAGAACAGAATGAAGAGAGTCAGCAATAGGGGTAAAATTGTAATTGGTAATTTCTAGGAGTGATTTTCGCATGATCGATTGTGTATGTATTTCAGACATTGAATTGATATTAAAATGGGCCATTTTTTCCTTGTAAAGATAGACAATTTGGAAAGCATTTTAAGCAGATACTTAATAATACAGTAATATTAATGTAAATGTATATGCTGAGACACTAGATTAGACATTAAGATAAGCTAATTCCTTCATACTGAGTTGATTATTTTGAATAGTATTTTAAGTGAATTAATGTGCATGCACTTGGACGCTAGATTGGACATTAAATCGACTGATTTTCATATATTGAGATGCTTCAATTGAATAGGATGTTATGTAG